GCCTCCACATGGTGGACAAACAGGTTAGTCACATGCAAAAGAGGGCCATCACCTAACAATAGGCTTGATTAGCTCTATTGTTCATAGAGGGTCATGTGCCCCATCATCTGACCCGTGTTGTGTTATGTGAATGCAGTGAATGCAAGCGGGGGTTCAATGTCCCCTTGTTTTCGTCCCTCTTTCCCTCTTTGTGTTGGTATCATTGGGGCCCTGATCCACACCTTTTGCTCACAGGGGGCTGAGTCACACTTGCAATGACAGCCTATTGTTAGTCGATGGCCCTCTTTTGCATGTGACTAACCTGTTTGTCGAGGTGGGGGCAGGGCTTATAAGGCTGATACCTGTATTACTGAGATGCATCAGGATATTCTTAACATCATGGATGATACTCTTTTCATGATAAAGCAACAAGATAAAATAGGGTTTATCAAACTTTTACTAGACTGCTGTTCAAAATGTGAAAAATATATTTTTTAAAGGTTTTGCAAAGTGAGCTTGTGCCTTTGTAAAGTAAAACATGTGGCTTCTAAGATGCAACTAAGGAAAAATTGATGGAAAACCCATAACACAAACAGACTGTCTGCAGATGTATAAAAATGTAAATCACGAAAAATAAACTTTTTTATTTTAAATGAACATACAGCATTAAATACAAAAAAGTCATGTAAAATCGACTTTTTTTTAGCTTTATATCATGTTATAATGCCATTTCCTGATCAAAAACATACAATGGAGTGTTGCTTTGACTCATTCATGCATGTTTGAGAAATCTTTGTCTCCAGTGGTAGCCGTGTGGAGTTATCTAAACACTTGCTGTCACAAAGCCCCGCCTATTTACACAAAGCTCCTCCCTGGAGCTCAGTCTGCAGCTGAGCTTCTGCCCCACTGAGCACCCCTCCCCCACAGCATTGCTGTAAATGTGTGCTGAAGTGGGAATGTCAGAAACAGTTGGCAGTTCTTAAAGAGACAGAGGCCAAATTCCAGGTGTTTTGATCGACTCTGACGCCAAGTGAAATTTATTTTTCTTTTAATCTGTATTTTCATAACAACTGAAGGTAACAGTTACTTGATTGTGGTGTGGAATTAAACCATGTGCCTGGAAAATACATAATAACCCCTTTCATTTTATTTATCGTTATTTTACCAGGTAAGTCCCGTTGAGATCTCAGATCTCTTTTTCAAGGACGGCCTGGGCCTGAAGGCAACCTATTATACATGCTTTTAGGGGTGGGGGAAACCGGAGTACCCGGAGAAAACCCACACAAGCACGAGGAGAACATGCAAACTCTACACAGAAAGACCCCAGGTCCAAACCGGGGATCGAACCCAGGACCTTCTTGCTGTGAGGCGTTGGTGCTAACCACTGAGCCGTCGTGCTGCCAAATGCTTTCATGATGCAAATGTTGACAGTTTAAAGATCATGATGTAGAAAGCGGCTATAACATTTATCTATTTGTAAGTGTTGTGTTGCTTCGGTGCCATGAATTTGTAAGTGAGATTTATAAGAGCCTTTAATTATCTGAGTTTTTTTCCCACATATTTTACATTAATCTCTCACATTCATATAACCCCAGGAAAGGATCAAGTCTTCCAAACTTGTCATTGTTTAAATGGGGAAAAAGATTTAATTTAGATTGTTTCACTTTAATTAAAAGTGCTGCTTTAGCACAAATGAGTCTGTTATCTTGAGATGAGGCACATTTTATTTGCCTCCAAGCTTAAAAACTATTTTCTTTTGGTTTTTGTTTGTACATTTAATGAAGAAAAAGATTTTTTGCTTCTCGACATTCACAGCTGGCGTAAAACCCAGCAACTCTTCTTCATTAGCTGCCTTAAAATACTCCACTAAACACTGTCCAGTAAATCAGAAAAATGCCCAATGCTTAAAAAAACTCAAGCTAAAGAGAGTGTAGAGATGGGGAATAGAAGGAAGAGGAAATAGTGAGACAGTTTTTTTTTCTATCGGATGCTTGATGTGGAAGTGAAAGAGGCATGATGAGGATAGAGAGTGATGAGGAAGAGAGAAGTAAACAGTTTTTCCCCGAGGCAGCCTTGTCTCCCGTGCACTGTCCTCTTTCAGCTTTTTATTCCTGTTTTACCTGAAATCTTGTGTTTCGGGGTGTGTGTGTGTGTGTGTGTGTGTGTGTGAGTGTGTGTGTGTGTGTGTGTGTGTGTGTGAGTGCCTCGATGCAGTCATGCGTGTGTAGAAAGCTCAGAAGACAATTATTGCCATGCTGGGTGTACACCTGGACCGTCCTGTAAACTTGCACTGAGAACGTTCTATAAAACATACTACACATGCATGTGTGCACACACTCACACTCTGTTAGTCTCTTTCAGGCTGCTTGTGCATTGATGCTCTTTTCTTTTTCTGCTATTCTTATATATTCTTTCATTATAAACTTATAAATATATATTAAGTGACCTCTTTCCTTTTCTGTTTCTTTCTCCTCCCTTTTGCCCGGATTCCTGTGACTCACCTCTCCATCCACGTCTTTCTCTTTTATCCTGTCCTTTTTTAATTTTTATTTAACTTCCTGAAAACCTGGTTTCCCCTCTCTGTCCCCTGAACCCTTTTCACAACAGAAGTATCGGTGTCAAGAAGAGGAAGGGGCTTCACCGGGAGCCCCCAGACTCCACCATCACACCTGCCCTCAGCACCCGATGGGATTAGCCAGACAGTTGAGCGATGGAGGGACCTTGGGGCGGGACGGAGGAACCCTCGGACGAGACGGGGGCTCTCTCGGACGAGACGGGAGCACTCTCGGACGAGACGGGGGGACCCTGGGGAGAAATGGGGGGACATTGGGGAGGGACCGAGGAACGTGGAGGAGAGACGGAGGGGGCGCCGGGAGCACGGAGCGAGAACGGGAGCGGTCCCTGGGAAGGGACGGGTCTCTCGGCCGTCACGGTGACCTTCGCGGAGCGGAGCTGGTTCAGGTGGCGGAGAGGCAGCTGTCTCAGATTCAACACGTTCACGGATACGTCACTCACACACACATCGCACCTGCTCAGGTAACCACGTCAGGCTCTCGCTGCGGCTTTAAGTTGAAACGTTGCGTCCCACCTCTGTTTTTATACTTTGTTCCAAGTAGCCAAGGTTACCTAAATTCACCGTCAGACTTCTTACAGAACTGTGCACAGAGGTGACTCAGTGTATTGCTTGTCCTATTTTTTATATATCTTTTATTTTTTTGGATGTGATGAGGATCGTAATTTGTTTAAATCACAAAATAAACCTAAGACAAATGACTTGAAATTACACACTATAAATAACATGGAAGTAAGGCAAGTGACCAAAGAGTCTTTAATCCTGTAGTTCCCCCCTTGTAGGCACCCACATTTTCACAAACATAACTTCATTTTTGTGAAACCATATGTCATGAGTTTTAAAGTAGACATATCCTGCTTTTAAATCCTTCCTTTTTCACATTTAAATCACTCAGTTGTGGTCTTTATAAAGTGAAACTGCAACGCTTTGGTCTGAATTCCCCCTTATTATAACTCCAACCCCCCTTCTTTTACCCCTTTTCTGGTGTGTGTCTCAAAGGTTATACTGTTCCTTTAAGACACTTCAAGCCCCGCCCCCCTCCTGCTTCCAGACCGGTCCACTTCAGTTTGAGAGAGGGGGTTAGCCTTTTCTAACTTGCAGAAATGTTTTATTTACGATTAAATTAAAAGATGTCAGCAAAAGAAAATTGGTAGATCCAGCCTCACATGTTGGAACCAGAGTCTGACCCAGAACCAGAGTCTGACCCAGAACCAGAGTCTGACCCAGAACCAGAGGAGAATTAAGATGAGGACATTGTAGTTTGTAAGTCCAGACCATATTTGGTAGTTCCTACGCAGACTATCTTATGTAATAGTTCACAAAACGTCATGGAAAATAGAGAAAACTGAACGGGCTGAAAAATATGACCGAAACAGAAAATAAAGATGTCTTTGCAGCACCAGGAGAGACTAAATTCAACTTTTCTGCTTCCTAGAGACTCAAAGTCCTACAAAATGCATATAACAGCTAAAAAAGTGGATTTTACCTGATATGTCCCCTTTAAAACTCATTCATCTATCCGTCCGTCTTTTAATTTGGCTTTGGTTTTGTTGTACCATTGTCCTCATTCTCAGCTAAAGCATTTATGTATTTTTAAATTTTGGCATGTTCAACATTATTAAGTAGCAGCATGTGTGTGTGTGTTTGGGATACGTTACAGCTCTCACTGCTGGCTATTTGCTGGTGTTCAGAGCTGAGCAGTGTGTGTGTGTGTGTGTGTGTGTGTGTGTGTGTGTGTGTTTGTGGCGTGTCAGCTCCGAGCTGTTACACACTGTCATGTGTTTTCCTTTGCACTGACTCACTTGTCAGTCACAGTGAGTTGAAAGGAGGCCCGTTTGTCGAAGGAAAACTTGCTGTGTAGCTCCACCTTGTGACCGGAAATCACCCAGCCACTTCTTTACTGCAAACATTTCTATTGGACACCATTTTTAAAAACCCAAATCGGTCAATTATGGCAACATATGAAGATATTTGTCTACATTTGCTGTGGAAGAGTGGCTGAAGAGAATCTAAGATCATTTGACCTTTTTTAACAGCGCAGCATCATTAGTCCCATTATCGTCATTGATGCTCCATCCCGGCAGCTTATCACCTGTCTGTCTGCATAAAATCTGTGAGAAGCAGCTCCTGCGTATGTGATCAGCATGTGTGTTTGCTGCTGGGAGATTCAGTTTATTTTGAGAACTTCTCCTTCCTGGTTGGTGCGTGTGTGTGTGTTTGTGTTTTTTTATGTGTGTATGACCACAGGTGCTGGTTCTGGCTTCCTTTTGTATGACAGATGGACCAGCCATCTTGTTCTCTTCATGTAAATGTTCCCGTTTCTCTTTCTCGTCACTTCCACTTTCCTATTTGTGCATGTTCTCATTTACAACCTTGTTGGGTCCCTCTGTAAAAAAAAGTGCCAAAAATTTACTTGAAAATCCCTAAATTATATTTAACATAATTAATATTTAAGCCCCTTACACATACGTAATATTCAA